TTTATGAAATTTTGTGTGCATATCGGGTAGTACTGAGAATCGGCTAACATCTATTTTTCATACCCCTTAATGATAAGAGTGATCCCTAAATTTTTTTTAAATTGTTTTGACAATTTTTTTTATTTTTATTTTATTATGATTTAGCATTGAAAAATACATACAAATTCAAATTTTCATGCTTTTACGATCAACCCCTGTTGTTTAATTGCAATGTTTATATGCCGCAATAAAGTCGCAAGATGACAATCGAATATAATAATTGTAGTACCGAGTCAGCTAGTATAGATATAAAGTTGAAAATAAAAACTATTAAAAAATGTTAAAAGTAAATATTTTTTTATGCAGATTTTAAAAACCAGTTTTGCTCAAATCTTCTTTTTTTATTATACATGAGTATATGCAGAAAATTCTGTTGCTATAAAATGATGGAGTGGCATTATTCTTTGCTACGTATGTTTATATTCATAGACTCTTTAAAGAACTTCCTGAATCCCCCTCTAGAACTCTAAATCTATTATAGTAGAATTCATTTTCGTCTGCCTCAGGTATAGGCATCCATTGGTGTCCCTGATACAGATAGGATTTGCCGCCACGACCACGATACCCGAGGCGGCTAGCGGCATCTTGTAGCTTCTTCTGTGAGGGTATATCATACAATCTGGACATTATGTAGGCGCTCTGTTTCTGTAAACATTTAGAATGCATTTTCTACTAACATTATAAATGTGAAAGTTTATAAAGGTATTTCTACGTTTATTATTCAATAATTATTAAACGTCTGAGCGGATTTGAATGAAATCCTATCTTGACACAGGATACTTTATAACTGATGCATGCAAGCACAGCCGTGGGAAGTAACTAGCAATATTAATGAATTTGTTTATATACTTAAACAGTCTGACAGACAAAATAGTACAACAGTATGAAATTAATAATAAAAAGGTAAGTTACAAGGACACTACCCACAAATTTCGTAATACGTTAGCAATAATGCCGTGCTATTTTTGAAATTTTATCATGATGGCTCAATTGACCTAACATCATCCTTAAGGGGAAGGGATTGTTAGTAATGGGTCTAATACCCTATCAGGTCGACCTCCACGCGGTTCCCCCTGGAAACCATCGTGGTTAATTCTAGTGGAATTCGTTACGATGGGCTAACTGACCTGCTTTCATTCTCATCTATCATCACTCACTGGTGCCTCGCCAGTGTATACCGATAGCACAGGTGGGGTTACCAATCCATTATCATCCATTAAAAAAAAACATCATCCTTATTCATTACATCTTCCACTAGTAGCCCGCCATTGCACATATTCAACTTAGATGGAAGCCACAATTCAGTCTACATCTTTTAAGACGAAAAGACAAATTAACACATACCATACAATACATAAAACCGATGTATTTATTGTCCCCAGTTTGTTTGAACCTCATATCAGTTGGTTCTACAGTAAAATTTTTCTTTACTGCTGTAAATTATGTTATTAAAGTCATTATTATTATTATAAAATAAATATTATATGTACATATTATTAATCTTTATAATCTGTATCAATCTTTGAAGTGAGCAATTTTTTTTAAGGGGTTTTCATTCATTCATTTGTTCTATATTATCGACGTTTCAGTGCCAAGCACAGAAGCAATGGCAAGAGCATCGTGTCGTGTTTCTACCGTGAAACAGTTGTGTTTGCATGGCTGTGTTTCGGTTTGAAGGGTGGGATATGGTGTGAATTTACTGGGTACAGAGGAATAACACCTGAGTCCTCAGGAATGACAAAGCATTGGGGGCAACGCATGGGGGGTATCATAGGCGAAACAGTATACTCTGTTATGTCCATAGTACTGCTCATGTTCATAGGCGACGGTTACCACTTTCCATCAGGTGGGCCGTCAGCTTGTTTGCCATTCTAAGTTGTATTAAAAAAAAGCAATATTATGAGATAAATTTAAACAAATGATGTCTCCGAATCCGGTCGAATCTAAGATGCCATTTCCATCTCCTAACTTTATATTTTAATTTGATAGTAATTTCATGCAACACATGAAGAGTATGAAGAGTATCATGGGTGACACAGTATACTCTGTTATGTCTATGGTAATGTTCATGTTTATAGGCAACGGTTACCACTTACTATCAAGTGGGCCGTCTGCTTATTTACCATTCTAAGTTGAATAAAAAAAAATTATAATAGGTTTGATTTAAATATTTTAGAAATTTAATTCATATCGATTCTTAGAATTTAGATTTTCATGTAATATCAAATTGAAATTTTAATTTTAGAGACATTTAGAGAAATTTGGTTTTTGGTGTATTTTCTCCTAACTGCCTCTTACTATAATCATCATGATCATCATCATCGTAATCATCATATCAGCCCTTAACTGTCCACTACTGTACATAAGCCTCCCCCTCTGGTGGTTTTGCCTGTAGTTACCACGCTTGGTATATGGATTGATAACCGCAGTTAGGCTTTAGAGACGTTTTAAAAGGAAAACTGCTGCTCATCCCTCGCCCTACTTAGTCGTCTCTTACGACACCCACGGAAAAGGGATGGCCTGTTCTATCCCGGGACCATACGGCCATTTATTTATTTATTTTATTTATTTATGACATATAAATAAGACTCAATAGATAAAAATAAATTATTTGAAAATGAAAAAAGGTCTTAACGCACCAAAACGCTCGTGTTTGTACATAGCTATTTATACATGTTTCAGTTTGATGGGTGACATAAAAATTATATTATCTGTGGTGGAACCATAATAGGCAGCAATTACCACTTCCCATCTGATGGGCCGTCAAAATGTTTACCATTCTAAAAAGTTTGGAAAAATCTGGAAGAGATTTCGTCTCTTCCAGGCAAGCTTCAAAAGACATAATGAAATAAATATTTTTACTTCTTAAATACGGATAAACCCAGTACTGTCCTCGATCCCCTCTTTGAATTAATATCTTGGTTTCGTTCATATGGTTTTTCATTAAAACATGAGGTGCTGTCCAATTCAGTGAGTGAGATGAATAGTTCTTCAATCTACGGTCTATCTTCTCCCTTTGCTGAAAGTAATAAATAAATATATGTAATTTGTCTCAACTATGAAAATGTAGAATCTTTTCGTAATAAATATATTTTTTATGAACTGTAAAAAAATCTTTATTTTTTCGACAAGTAAAAGTTTACCTTTTCTCTATCTCTCTGGTTCTATATCTGATAAATGGGCATTATTTATTTATGTATTTATAAATTATTTATTTTATGTTAATTTATTTTTCTTGTGCCTATAATTATATATATTTGTATATTAGATACATACTACCGTTCTTCTTGGCTGAAATTGCGTTCTAATGGGCGATAATGAAAAAAATGACTATGATAATAGGCAATTATAAATTATTATTTTTCTTGATGTTTTGCGCTGTTATTCCAAACTAGCCTAATTATACAATATTATCATACCTACTTGAACAACAATTAGTCCGTTACCCTAAGGTTGTCTTGAAAAAATTCCTTTCAGCAATAAGACCACCTTTCTGTACTTATACAACTGTATCGTTACATTCATTGTCTTTCTTTATTATTATTTTAGTCATTAACTGTCTACTGCTAGACATAAGCTTTCCCCATAAGGGGAGTTTTGCCAGTAGTTGCCACGCTTGGCAGACGAGTTGGCAATTATCTTGTTTATAATGCAAATAAACTATACTCTTTCATTAATTCATAGACAATAAGAATCATGTTTTATTTCTTTATAAATTTCGATAGATTTTCAAACCCTATCAATATTTAACATCATTTTTTTATATTTGACTTATTAGCAACAAAAATTAAATTCAACTGATGGAATATACTTTTAGAATTATAAATAAAAAAAATAACTTTTCGTATAATATATATAATATTTATAGTATGGCAAAAGGTGCCACATCAAGTCCAGTCCATGACAAAAACAAAATATGTTCTTTTTTAGCAGTATGAGGTAACAACCATACTTACTTCTGATGTGGGAACGGAAAATCTGTAAGTAGTGATATCGATATGTGGACCCCAATAATAAAAGATAATCCATGTCTCGTTTAGTACAGAATAAGGATTGAATCTGGCGTATCGACTGAACTGATCACATGTTGTTGTTTCTGCATCTTCTAAATATGGCTTTAAAGCAATTTCGGACAAAGTACAAGATAAAATAGATGTTATGGCAATTACAAGTAGTAAAATTCTAGACGTTTCCATTTTCAAAAAAGTTTCTTATTATCTGAAAATTATATTTTAGTACTCGATAAAGATTAACTATTTTGGTGCGAACCGATAACGTTTTGTAGTATTACAATTAGAATAAAGAGAACCAAGATAATTTCTGAGAGCACTGAATTAATCCGAATCTCCATTGACTGGCATTTTTTTTTAATTAAGTGTATATTAATTAAATTATTAAGTAACAAAAGTGGTATTTCTAAATATTCTCATAGTAAATGGTTACCATAGTCCACAATCGTCTGCAATACTTGGGGTGTAATAATATTAATTATTTTTTCTCCTTTGGTAATCAATAATAACGTACTAGTAACACATTATAACATAATTGTAAATAAACACTTTTAATTTCAATGTTACTTATAATTTCAACTAATTTTGACAAATCCCTTGTTAATCACGTCAACTGCTGATTGAACTGTCTTTAATTCTCAGTCAATAACACTTTTTATTTGGAAATATGAATCTCTGTTTGTTATTGTTTTCAAAACATGATTGGTTTGGAATTAGACACAGTTCCATTGCATCAAAGAATGATAATAATGGATTGTTCTCGTAGCAGTTTATTTACCAAACTATTCAGAATAAAAAGTGGTTTGAGTTTAAAATATCCAATAAGATAATACACAAATATAATACTCAAAATTTTATCTCTCTCTGATTTCATGCGAACAAAGTTAAAAGATTTTATTAGTAAATAAATAAAAAAGTCCATGTGTAATGTAGAGTATTCATTTGTCCATCAGACAAATGAATACTCTACCGTGACGTTATAGCTTACAATTATATAACTACGTTTCATTAGCATTATAATGTAGTCGTATATCTACAGACACCATAAACATATTTTCAATCTACCTAATAGAACATAAAATTTCGTTCTTAGACTGTATTCTATTAAATGGTGCCAGGGATTGTCCACTGTCTTATGATTTCAATCGTTAATCTAGTTTCTACTAGATTAACGATTGGAATCATCCTTAAGACAGTCCTACATAAAGTCTTCTAATTATCAATTATTTAAAAAATCTTTCTTTCGGCAAAGAAACACCTTCTTTAGGTCTTATATATCTCATGTTTTCCTCCATTAGCTTCTGTTCTTTTTCCATAGCAAATTTCTGTGCTTCAGCTTTGATATCTCTTGAGACTGGATACCCTATACCAGAGATATTTAACTTGGCAGCTTCTGTTTTCTTTTCGAAGTCATTGAGTGGTTCATCTCCTGATATAGCCATGATGGTAGTGTAGTGGTCATCACAATACATCATTACTAAGTATGGATCTACAATCTTTAACTGGATTTTTATTACTGGCAGATTTTTTCGTTTACCTGAAATATTTCAATGTTTTCAATCGACTTCAAAAATGAATCTAGATATAATTTTATGATAATAAAATTAATCCATATTGCTCTACAAGGATATTGTTGTTTGTAAAAAAATGCTATATTTTAGTATCAATAACACATTACATATTTAAATTAAAAAGTGGTTGTGCGTGGAAGAAAGTGCTTTAATTTGGAGGATCGTGGAAATTCTTCGAATGTTGGCAGTCACACACATACTAATGGTAGCGGAATTTAATAAGATTTCACAAAATAACACCTAGTTTAATAAAACATTTGAAAAAATATTGAATCGCGCGGGTTATGAGTTTGTATGTGGTCTTGTCACTCTTGTCATCTACTTTATCATTAAGCACCTTGTCAAACATTGGATTTGACGCCACTCCTATCGCATAGACCTCTCTAAGTCAAGAGATTTTTTTTTTTTTTTTTTACAACACAGGGGGCAAACGAGCATGCGGCTCACCTGATGGTAAGTGACTACCGCCGCCCATGATCACCCACAACACCAGCGGCATTGCAGGTGTGCTGCCAAATAAAAGATAAATTAATACATCGGTAGAATGTTTATCGCTACCGAGGCCATGATATAGAATGAAATAACGATTTCAGATGTCCTTGCTCTTTTTCATACGAGTACTAAACAAATCATAACTATCCATGCATTCGTTTGATCTTTATTCAGGCTTCTAGAACTAGAAGACTAGAATTCCCATTACCAAAGTAAGAAATGAAATAAAAATTACAATAACTACCATTCTTATTAATAATAACAACTCACCACTAGATAATCCCTGACTGGGTATTGCATAAAACGTTCCCTTTCGGTTTAGAGATACCAGCAAAATATCTCTATTTTCTTTCAATAATAATTTGGGTTCATTCCAATTTATACTTTTGTCCAAATATGGTCCATATTGATTTTTAAATACTTTCACAATCTGTAAAAGTCGACGTTCAGTAACAGTAGTTATAAATGTTGTTTATCCTATTAAATAGAATAAATGTGAAAGTTTGTGTAACAATAGATGGATGAATGTTTGTTACTCTTTCACGCAAAAACAACTGAAAGGATTTTAATAAAATTAGGTAATATCCTGATTTAGCACATAGGATATTTTATATACTGATTCACGTTAGTAAAGTTACGGGTTTTACTTAGTATAGTATAATAAATTACACATATATTATTAACATTCTATAGAAATTGTAAAACAAGTAGTATATGCACAGATTTGTAACAGATGATTCCCAAAAAAAAATTTAACTTTATGGAGAAGCGTAACAGATTTAAACATTTTAATACGTTACCTTTGCTGTAGGATAAGAGAATTTATGTGCAACAGCAAGCACATAAGGTTTCGATGACCATGTAAAAAACGGCACCCAATCTAAGTCGACGATATCTTTGGGATGAAAGTGAATGTCATAACCAAACTGATCGCAAGTCGTCCAGTTCAATCTGTCACCTTTATACCGCATATCAAATTTGTCTCTTAAAAAATATCCCATTTTTGATCTACTATAGTCATGTTCTGCTAAATGACTTGAAACTGGTTTCTCCACTAGCTTGTTAACAGATGGTTTTTTGGGTTGAGAGTTCATATTTTTTGTTTGTAAATATTCAAAGTTAAAGAATTTTGGCGTATCGTCTATATGTGACTTATTTCTGACTGTTTCATCCAATTTCTTGTCATACTCACGATGTTTTTTAGATATACGATGATAAATAAATTCATCTTTGGGACTTAAAAAATGCACAGGTTCTTTCTTCAATGGTATAATATTTTTTGGTGATATAATCTGTAAATACTTTTGCTTTTCGTCTCTTGTTTTCGGTGTTTGCAGAGTGAGTTCAAGGACGTCAAGTGGTTGCTTAAGATTCGTCATGGGATCTTCGAATCCCTCTTTATATATGTGATCAAAAAGTACAGGTATATTAGATTGTTTTATATTAATAGGTATTTCTGGAACAGGAGCTGAATATAAATGTTCTGCTCTTTCCTTTCTTGCTTCTATGAAAGCAACAATGAGTGATACCAATAACAATTTCATTTTCTGTGTAATATCACTGTACCAGGTTCCTTCGTTTTAATATAATGCCTGTATACTCAGCGGTTGTGAACATTTTTGTAAATTATGAACTATATTACAAAATGTTTTTCGTAGATGGCGTGTGTTGTAGGTTAAAACCTTGCACGTATTATTTAAACTTTATAATTATTTAGGTATTTGTATAAACATAATTTTTGTATGAAGTATACAAAATATATAATATTAATGCATGAAATTTTGAGTAAACATTACTTAAATTACTTTTTTCCTATGTCTAAGCTATTTTCTTTAAAAAAAAATTTTCATTACCTACTAACTACTTAGTGATAAGAAATGAGAAATTTTGGATAAGTATTTTATATCTCCATAGGTAGACAAAAAGATTTTTTCTGGTTTTAATAAAACGTATATAAGCGATTAGGCAAGGGTTTCGTGCCAATCTCTATAACTAGAAAAAAAAAAAAACAAAATTATTAAAAAAAGTTAAATATTATGTGAATCAGTGATATAAAGAGCTTAAAATTACTGAGATTTCTTTCCGAGATTATTTATGTTAATTGTCTAATTTTTTAATTATGTATTATTATGTAGGTATTATGTATTATGACAGTATTATGCAGGTTCTACACGTAAATATATTGCAATAATAAACATTTCGTTCCTTTTTGTAGAAAAATTTTAAAAGGTTTGCAGCGTCTGATATAAACATACGTATTGACATGTGATGCGGTCAGTGTCGGTTATAATACTTCCTGAATGTATAGACAATGTTGATTAAACCTGGAACTGAATCCATAATCTTTGTAAAGTTGTAAATTTATAAAGTATTCTACAGATTTTTTATAGAATATTATTATAATATTAGTATATATTGATAAAAGAGATGTGATTTATGTACAATAATTTTTAGGATTTTTTCTTTTAAGTCTATGACTATTTACTTTATCACTATGTGTTACTTTGCTTCCTTTAAGGACAATGGTTCTAAGATATATATATAAAGAGATATTTTCTTCTATAGTAACATGTTACTAAATAATTATGTAAGATCAATACCTTATATAATTATTTTTGTAAATTAATCACTAAAATATATCTTGTTGAACTAAATAATATTACATAATGTTGATCTATCTATTTTTATGGCTGTATTTTTTTTACTCATATACGTAACTTTAAAGAACACGCAAAGACAAAGAACACAATGTTTTAAGTAAATTCTTTATTCAGTAACTTATTTTTACTCATTATTTCTATATCTAAATTATCTGTAAATTATTTATTTGTCTATCTACATCAATTTGGGCATCGTCGTCTGCGTCATCCAAGCTCTCGATAAGTGAAATTGGAGATGTTGTTGTGTTATCGGTTATCAGGTACGACCTTCCAAACGGGCTCCAAAATCCAATTTTCGACGCAGCTCGTTCTAACTGTAAACAAAGCAGTCAATAATCATTAATCATCCTCACTAATCTTACTAATATAATAAAGTAGATAATGTCTGTACATAGGAGATATTTAAGAACAAATAATAATACTAAAAGATGCTGAAACAATAAATTTAGAAATTTTGTCTGTCTATATTTTTGTTCCAGCGTCACGCAAAAATTGCTACACCAAATTGGATGCGCTTTCTACAATTGTGTCTCTGAAGGTCTTAAAATCTAATGTCGAGTACGCTTTATCTTGATACGTTATCTAGAAATGATATAATTCATTGACTTCCCTGCTTCTGAAATCTGAAATACAAAATAGCGGGGAAAAGAGCAAATCAATATTTTTTTACAAATACTGCGTCTGTCTGACTGTATCTTTGTTCCGGTATCACACAAGAACTACTGCACCAAATTGGATATGATTTCTACAGTTATGTTTTTAAAGCTTTGACTTAAAGTCTACCGTATGTTTTACCTTGATACGCTATTTAGAAATTATCTATTTCATTGATGTTTCATCGTTTTGAAATCTACGTATACGAAGTAACGGGAAAAAATGTTAATATTATAAACATTAATGTGAGTTTGTTTGTTCTATTGTTTGCTACCTATAACCGCTTTAATGGCTGACCACTATGAAATTTGATATACTTATTTTTTTTTTTATTTTATTTTATTTGGGATACCAACAGCTTTTTACAAAATTCAATACATATTACATTACATTTACTATATGCTAGCCGATTATAGTTATCCACAGCGTAAAACATACACATCCGTTAAGCAAATAAAACCATACTTTATAGTAATAGTAGTATGGTGCATCTACTATAATGCTCGCACTGTACCTACAGTATACCTATACTGTCCAAATACGAACTATATGGGATGGACTCCTTACATGGATGGATTACATAGACTACTTTTATCTTAAAAAAATAAAAAATGTATAAATGTAAAAATTGAACCTTACTTCTATAGAAGACGGCATAAACTCCATTGGTGCTAATGCATAACCCAGCCGATGTTTGCAATTCATTAGTCCCAAGTATCCTGGTTCAACGACTTTCAATCCAAAAGTCAGGTACGGTGTATTACTATCTAAAAATAAACTTTCGCTTAAATTTATTTGTAAATATACAATAAATTGATACCTGGAGTTGTAGGTAAAGGCTGCAAACAACTTGTACAACGGACTGTGCTCAGAGAAATTGTTCAATATGATACCCACAGCTACTTTCTACCATCGGACAGCTCACTATCGACAACGAATTCACCTCCATATCTTAGAGCCTTAGTTTCAGAGATGTTTTCTCCCATGAACGCTCAGGTTATGGAATGTCGAGATTTTTCCAAAAGACCACATCATGGAGTTCTTCAAAAAAGGAATAAAGAAGTTTCTTCAGGGTCAGCAACGCGCGCGTAATGCCTCTGGTATTGCAGGCGTTTATAGGCAACGGTAATCTCTTACAATCAGGTTGGCTGTATGCTTATTTGCCACCTCAGTGGTATAAAAAAATAACCACGCAAATTGGGAACGCACACTTTTTACTTAATTATCGCATCCAAATTATATTACGTGTCAAAGGAATTAATAAATGTTTTTGATTAACTTGATTTAAATTAAGTTAATTAAAAATATAAATATAATATAAAGTTGAATGTTTGTATTTGTGTTTAAATGTTTTTATTTTCTTTTTCACTTCATTTCATTTTGCGTACCTTCTTTACGTTTACGCTTTACTCGTTCTGCTACTTTCCTTTTAAAGAAATTCAATAAGAAATAACAAGGTGATTTACAAATTGTCATACAATATATATATATATATATATATATATATATATATATATATATATATATATATATATATATATATATATATATATATATATATATATATATATTTTAATATTTTAATGAATGATAATGGAATGGTCACCCCACCCGCGCTATCGGTATACACCGGCGGGGCACCAGTGAAGGATGATAGGTGAGGATGAAGTAGGTCAGTTAGCCCATCGTGACGAATTCGACAAGAATTGTTCAAGATGGTTTCCAGGGGGAACCACGTGGACGTCGACCTAATAGGGAATATTGCTAACAATGGGGCTATCAAACTCCATTGCTAACAATCCCTTCCCCCCCCCCCCCCCCTTCATATAATATTCTCTCCTCGTGTTAACCAGTTAATAATGGATTTTCATATAACTTAGCTTCTCTAACCTATATTTAGCTTTTGAAGCAAAAAGTAGACACTTTCCATCTAAAGTATGAGTGAACTTAATAAGTACTTACATTGAAAAGAAATCGACGATATAAGCCTATACAGACCCGATATATTGGTCTTAATAAACAATCCACTGAAGTCTATAGAAGTCTCCATAAACAAATCTGCATCGGTCCAATTCACCGGAGGGTTCAACTCCTCGTCTAGTTCCACACTAAATCGTTTTATTAACTGGAATTTTTAAATTTTAGGTTTTTAATACTTTAAAGTTACTACAGCATGGGCTCTTCAAAAAGGAAGTTTTTAAGGTTTCTTAAGAGGTGACAACGTGCACGTCACATCCCTGGTGTTACAGGCGTCTATAGGCTACCATCAGACGAGCCGTATGCACACTTATAAATAACGTATTATTTCATAGTATTTAATGTTAGACCTTCAGGAACACAACTGTGAAAATCCATACAATTTGGTGCAGAAGTTTTTGTGTGATACAAAAATATACTTTTAAACAAACAAACAAAATTTTAAAAATTACTGTTTTAACACCTATTAGCTTCATTGAGACCTTATATCAATTTTTCTTAAATATCCCCCATGTACAGACATTATCTAATTATCATTTTATTATATTAATAAGATAGGTAAATGTTTTTAAAAGCATATTCATTGTGAATTCAGTGAAGTCATTGTCGACTAAATTCAAGATCCAATTATTGTTACATAAAACCGTACAGGTTTTATGTAAAAGAAACGTACAAAATCTTTTATAATGATAACAGCAGTTATATTAGAACAGCTTATCAGGTCGAATTCAGACGGTGCTTTTCAAAGGGACTGTATGGAGGAACTTGGACACTAGAGGGAGACTTTGTACAAAAGTCGATTGCTTGGGTACTTCTGACCCATTCGTGTTTCAACCGTCAAGCAGCTGTGTTTGCATGGCTGTGTTTCGGTTTGAAAGGTGGGATATGGCGTGAATTTACAGGGTACAGAGGAATAACACCTGAGTCCTCAGGAATGGCAACGCATGGGGGGAACATATCATGTGCGAAACAGTATAGTCTGTTATGTCCATGGTACTGCTCATGTCTATAAGCGACGGTTACCACTTTTCATCAGGTGGACCGTTAGCTTGATTGCCATTCTAAGTTGTATAAAAAAAAAAGAAAAAAAATCTTGACTTTGACATTATTTGTGGAGATTTTATTGTCATCAAAATAGAAAGTAAATAGATACAAACCCCAGGCGTCGGTATACCGAATTTAATATGATAGCTCTCCTCAAAATCATAGTGCCAGAAGTAAAATATCTTCCAATCTATATCCACGACTGATTGTGGGTTAAAGACGGTGTTGTTTAAAAATTCTTCACACGATGTCCAATTGTCGATAATAATATTATTAACCTCTTTAAAATTGTCACTTTTTAAGATTTGTATTATATTTGGTAACAAGAACAATAGTAATGTGAAGAATAACATTTTTTTTTGTTTTATTATAAATTTATAAGTACTAATACTAATGTACAAGTAAAACACTAAAGTCACTTTTGATAAATTAAAATTTTATAATTATTATTTTCTTAAACTAGTTTTAGATATAATTTAAAAGCGAATATGTTTTGTTAAATAAAACAAAAATCGTTCTTAACTGTATTACGTTGTTAATAATCAATCCTTACGTATATATTTTAACTCTATAGTTAATAAGAATTCTGCTGCTAGGTGCAATTTTTTTGTTTTATTTATATAATACAGAATAATGTATTGCCTTATATGTATATCGTCTTAATAAATGAAACACGAACTATACCTGTAGACTTATAAATGGAAATATTATGTTTTTATTTACATGAGAAAGAAAAACTTACTCTACACTTTTTATTTGTTTATAATTACAGACTGATGACAAAATACTCATATGTTTGCATAACAAATAAAATGTTTCTTAAAACATACATGTTGATCACTTGGGTTTTTTTTTAATGGGTGATAATGGAATGGTAACCCCGCCTGCGCTATCGGTATACGCTGGCGGGGCACCAGTGAAGGATGATAGGTGATGATAAAAGCAGATCAGTAAGCCCATCGTGACGAATTCCGCTAGAATTAACCACGATGGTTTCCTGGAGAACCGCGTGGAGGTCGACCTGATAGAGTGTATTGCTGGCAATGAGTCAGTTAGATTCCGTTATTAACAATCCCTTTCCCCTCGATCACTTGGGTTGTAGATAACTGTTAAGTACTGATTAAAATTATTGTAAGTTGCAAACAAATGAAACTATATCTTATTTATTAACTATTTGCATTACTTAATAATACTTAGATTCATTTGCCACTTTTCTATATAAAAAAATTAAGAACTAATATTTGAAAGCTCGAAGAATCCAGAATTTTTGTCGTACTTCCAACCATTGTCACAAGCTTTTATGTCTTAATGGATAATAAAATTTAAATTACATAAATTTATTTATTTATATAATGAAAAAGTTTTTGCTTTTTGGTTCAGTTTTGGGGAAGGCGGAATGGTTGGGTATGGCAGTGAGATTACAGTGTAGGGAAGCATAATACCTTAGTCCTCACTCAGAAATGGCAAGCCATGAAACCGTCAATTGGTTTATGGCTTCAATATCCGTAAAAAAAAATATGATATCGTAACTATAACGTTCAATCACACAATCATCATTAATTATTGAAATATTTATTACAGTTCAAAATTATTTTATAACAAACATTAATATAATCAACATCACTTAATAAGAAACTGTTCGTCATCGTTCTTGTCACCAGTACAAGCGGGGTACCCGTCTCCAATGTTGAGCTGTGCTGCGGCAGCTAGGATCTCTGAGCGGTAAGGCGGACGATCAGCTCTGGCCGAGATGGACCCGACTCCCATATGGCAGTCGATCATTACCAGGAACTTGCCTTCGTTGAGCAGTTTCATATAGAACTTGAGCAGTGACACACTGCTTTTCATTGGTGTTAAGTCTAGAAGAATAAAAACCTATTTTAAGGTAAAAACACATCACGGAAGCAAAATATTATATATGGATGCTTTATAAAAATAATTCACGTAGTAAGAATACAATCATCATCATCATTTCAGCTGTCCACTGCTTAACATAAGCAGTCCCCATAAGGGGAGTTTTGCCAGTAGTTCCCACGCTTGGCAGGCGGGTTGGTAACCGCAGCTAAGCTTTTAGCGATGTTTTAAGAGGGACGCTGCTGCCCATCCCTCTACCATTCAGTTCCTTTAGTCGCCTCTTATAACACCCACAGGAAATAAAGAAGTGGCTTATTCTATGCTGGGACCACAAGGCAAAAAAATACAATGTATCACTCCAATTTATTCCAAGGTATACGAGGCGATGTACTATACAAGATGAGTCTATCTTAAAATTCGATTACACTATTCAAAAGTTGTAGTGAGAAATCTATAGAACACTTCATGTATGACTGTGATTCGTTAGCAAATATACGCATTGATGCTGATATTTAAGATTATTTGTAAGGAAGAGGCAATTAAAAAAGGCATATAATTTACTCACAAATATGTCTTTGCGCATAGTCATTAACTCCATTCGCATTCTGGAATGGGCACCAGATAAATAAATAAATAAAATGGGGTAAATATGCTGTCCTTTGGTATGAACATTGGAATTTTGAAACATACAGTGAAATTACAAATACCAGGGTAATGCAGGAAAAACAATTTCCCAAGCAAGATCTCAACTGATCAAAGTGCTATAGATGCAATGTAACCCTATATGTTAAAATAAAGATAAGAAATAGAAGTGTTAAATGATATCTTACTGCCATCACGTATAACGTTTGGTACACCGGAGAAGCTGCCAGCTGCCCCCTGGTCTGCGCATAACAGTAATTCATGGCGCGCAGCACCCATGGTTCCGAGCAGTACCGCCGCATCCCACACGGGCTGCTGTTCCATATAATCGTACATGTCATTCCAAATTCGTTGAACGATCTATAAAACAAAATTTGTTATATGAATAGCAAATTATCGTAAGAGGTGGCTTATGAATAATGTGTCCTATATCAGTGATCAGAGCAAGAGAAAGAAAATTCAAAGTGGGTTTTTTTTGTACAACTTAGAATGGCAAACAAGCTGACGGCCCACCTAATGGAAAGTGGTAAATGTCGCCTATAGACATGAGCAGTTCCATGGACATAACAGAGTATAGTGTTTCGCCCATTATACCCCCCATGTATTGCCATTCCTGAGGACTCAGGTATTATTCCTCTGTACTCTGTAAATTCACTGCCATATTCCACCCTTTAAACCGAAACACAGCCATGCAAATACAACTGCTTCACGGTTGAAACACGAATTATACCACATTTCTGAACTAGCGTAGAAATAGTAGCATAGTATCAAGATATCCTCCTCCTAAAAGGAGAGCATTTGCTTCTTAATTTTTTCTAGAAATGTCTGGTGTCGTCTTTTCATACTGACATTCATTTTATATATGAAATCTAAATCAACTATTCACATTTCTTGGACTGGACTTACCTATGTAACTTGGATTGACCAACAAGCTAACATGATGGAAAGCGGTCACCATTACATATAAACATGCTGTGAACATCACAGAGTAACACTGTATTTACACTATTCGTACCATACACAGTGGTGTCGTGTGATCCCGACATAATAGATAGAATGGACCATCCTTTTTCCGTAGGTGTCTTAAAAGGCGACTGGTCTATTTAATGGAACATATATATATATATATATATATATATATATATATATATATATATATATATATATATATATATATATATATATATATTTAACAACATAACTTACCCTCGGTGTAGCATTCTTAAAAACCATATCCAAACACTTATTTTCCAACTTCATATTATACGTATAATATATCCGCCATGGTTTACCCACTACCATATCCGAATCGAAATAAGGCCGTTGCGCTAACTTCATACATCTCTCGTCCAATCGTCTAAGAGCAGGTGGCTTAACTTCCAAACTGATAGATAATTTTAAATGAAAAATTACAAAGAACAACTGTACGTACTTCATGATCTTTGAGTTCAAATAAACTACATTTGTCTTTATCTTTCTGTTATAAAGTACCACACAATGAGAACCGTTTACTTTTCCATCGTGTGTTTAGTTTTTCTGTCAGTTTTACTCCCACGGTGATGTAGAGTTGGGCCTTCTTTTGTTGATCAACATTATACTCGTAACAGAATACTGATATCAGTAACAAACTCTATGGATTATTTAAAATACAACGAACATATTTAATATATGTCCTACAAAAAAAAACCATTTAAAAAATTATATTAGAATTGAGAATCTTTTTTTTTTTAATTAGTTGGCAAGATGAAGGGATTGCTTAGTGTGAATAGATGCACAATATATTTGAATGTATGTATATTTATACTTAATTAGAGATAATTATATTAGTAGAATATTAAATAACAAAAACTTGTTCCCTTATCCACGAAGATACGACTTTAATATTTTCTTAAATCTTATTATGTACATAAATAAATATATTCTTTTATAAAAACCCATAAATAAAATACCTAAATGGTATATTCACAAACAGAATAAATAATATTTTGGTACTGTTTTATTTCCATTGCTATGACGGATCAACCTTCATTTGTATAATGGTTATTTTTATATCGCCAGCATTTATTTTGAAAATGAAATTCTGTTGGTCGAAGCTTTGCGTGCCTTATCAGTTTTCGCTCATACGGCAATTAATTGTTGCAATACAATCGCTTGCCTATTATGCTTAACTCGTCGTTCACTACTAACTTTAAAAAATATAATATTAAAAATTATATTTGATTCCCCATCACAATAAATGTCTTGACTTTTTTTATTATTTAAGTAAATAGTTGTAATAGAAAACTTCATAACAGTCATATATCCATATGACATAGTTAATTCCTTGTAAATTCGCTATGATGCCTCATCTATGACCTTTCAATGTTACCTTGCTCGCCAGCGTACACCTACAGCTTAGGCGGATTTAACTGATGATTTTCATACATTAAAAAATCTCTCTCCTTCTTTTAACAGAATTTACGTAACAATATTAGATAAACAAATTATTATTTTATTTCTTTATACTATTGTACATACATACATTCCAATTTTCAAATCGGCAAATTTGTAAAATACAACTAATTTACTCTAAAAATATGTCGCCGCACAGCGATCTACAGTGTCGCTGCAAAAAGTCGTCAAGTTCACAGACTTAGGCTCATTTGTTGTGGTGTGGGCGTTCACCGAGCCCGCCACCGATGCGTATCTTCCGAATAGGTGGAATTGGTAGGCGGAATATTATTACCGGCCGTTATGTTCAGTGACAGAAAGCGAGGCTGAACGTAATGAGTGCGCCGCCCAACACTGCAGCGGTCAACGGCAGTGGAATAAAAAAATAATAATTAGAGAAATATATTTTGTGTTCCATTTTTAATTTTCAAATCGTGTTCTAAATTTGATCAGAACGTGATGTCTACTTTTTGTTGTTCTTATTCGTTTTTAACTTTTAATCCTTACTAACTATCCACAGATAGAATTTTATACCCATAGATAGGCTTTTTATTATTGTTCCCGATAAGTATATTTATCTTGTTACTAATTTTCAATAGTTACCCCACCTGTGTTTTGGGCTTACGTTAACAGGGTACCAGTGAGGAATAATAACAACAGATTATAATATAGACAAGTTACTTGATCCATCGTAACGAATCTATGATCTATTCTAGGATAAACTGTATCGTGGTCGACCTAACTGAAGACATTAGTAGCAACGGACTTGCTTGTTCCCATGAACAACAATCCATTCCCCCGAGAGGGGTTTACTAGTAATGTAAACTAGTTCGATAGTGCAGGTGGGATTACCATTCCATATTAAGCCATCATCATCATAATATGCCCTCAACCCAATTATTTGGGATCTGCATTATATGTTTTTATTTATATTATACATAGTTTTGGCCTTTGATTTTACGACTGGCTGCCTGCCTGACGTTAACCCTCCTCGGGAATGCATTTATTGGGGGTATCCGCCATCAACAGTATGAAGGAAAGGATTGAGAAAAAAAGAAATCAGTAAAGGATGTTAGCAAAAAAGGAATGAAAGATTTATAGGGAAAAGGGAAAGAGGGACGCTGCAGTTGCGGAGAAAATACTGGTCAGAAACTGCCGGAGCTTAAAAGGTCGGGGTCGTATACTCGCATGCTCTCTAAAAACGGATAGATCACTAAAGCAGAACACCGCTGGTACCTGGTATAATTTCATAATATATCCGTATTTTTTATCTATATCTAATCCGTATTTATATCTAATGGATTGTCATATACATAAAAAAAATATAATCGAATTGAAATCCTTCATCTTTTTAAAGCCAGTAGGAAATACTATCAAATCATTGATTACAAAGCTATTAGTAATTTAGTATCCGATCTAACTAAACCTTAAGAAATTAAATGGCACCTAATTATTATAGTTTATTGCGACTCACCACTTTATCTTCAAATTTATATGTATAGTTTTTTATATATGTGTATATATATATATATATATATATATATATATATATATATATATATATATATTGCATCTATATATTATATAAGTAATTTATTATACCTACACTTTACGCGAAACACATATCATTAAACGACATACTTCTGCTGTATCAAATCGCATCTCATGTTTGTAACAGCAAATAAACACAAGTGTGCGCCAGAAATATAAGTAAGAAAACAGTGAAACAAATAAAATAATAAAAAAAACTAGGTATAGCAAAATTGCTACCTGTTAAAAATAATACTAATTCTATGTAAGTAAATATTATGCTCTTTATTAATGCCCATAATTAATTATATACAGCTGTCTGATTAATGTTTTACATTTAGCACGTCATGTTCATTACAACTGATACGAGTATTCGATAACATGCTACAAAATTTAAATATCTACTGTATGTACATACATAATTATTAGGTAGCTATCGGCGTAAAGAGAAATAATTTAAGATTGTGTTTCATATAAAAAAATCGACTTCAATTATGGCGAAACCAGTTCTTTTGATTTAAAAAGTAAATTTACTGAACCCATTTTTGATAAAATGTCTATGGGATCAATCTGTAAGTATATTCTTTCAGATTTAGAATGCACTATTCTCTTTTAGATTTAAAATACAGGTCATAAAAATCTCAATTCGGTTGTATTTTTTATGTTTGGTAAGTACCTCAGAACTTCAACGTACACCAATTTGAAAAATTATTGTTTATCTGAAAGGATATATATATATATATATATATATATATATATATATATATATATATATACTTACAGACATTAATCCCATAGAAATTTTACCTATTGATTCTTTGACCTTAATTATTTACCTATTGATTCTTTGATGAGATACTTTGTCGTCCTCGTAACTGCTGCGTGCTGTGGATAGGTAAATACATACTTATAAGGGATTCTATATTTGAAAGTTACGACTTTCCATTATGAAGTACTTCCCAAATTAGACCCTGTCGCGAATGTATTGTAAATTTTCATAATAAAAGCAGAAATAATAGTGTTAACACTAATGTATTAATCATGACGTAATTATACATTTTTAAGACTTCTAAACATGGCCAATTTGGTTTGTTCAAAAACAGAAAACCGCGCTGTTGGGTGCTCAGGTGAGATGCAGACAGAACACAAGCTGTCAGGGGCAGAAAACGCCGCGAGCGCGCGTCATCATATCCACTCCGCTGTAGGGTTGGCAATTAATATATAAACCATGATTATGATTATCATAAAATTATAACGATACTCCGCAAGCGGCTTGTACTAAGTTCTTCTTCTAGACTGATGCATTATCATTAATGTTTCTTTTAGTGGCATCTTACGACATAATTTCGACAACGAGTATGATGGATCTTGTTTGAAGGTTTCGTAGAGCCAATGTGAGAGTAAATCCTTTCAGACAAAAAATCTAAATCGGTTTATAAATAATGAAATTGTGATAAAAAAGATAATATGTTGAGGTCTTATGCTACAATAGAGACGTGTATGATAAAATAGAAAGATTGTCTTACAACATATTGCAATAGTGTAATTTAATATAATATTAAACAAAAAAAAAATAACTTATATATTTAAATTATCTTTTATTCGTTGCTATACTAACTGCGGTTGAGTCTACATTTGTTAAATGTATATTTTAGTATTAAAAGAAATTATATCAGCTACAAGTATGTCATTATATATATATATATATATATATATATATATATATATATATACCTTACATAATTTTACAATAAATTTTGTTACACAAAAATAGCCAGGTTCTTATATTATCTAAATAGTTTATTCTGAATTCATAGCACATAAAAAAATGTTTATATGCTATTATGAATTAATTAATGTAATATATAGATAAATAATTAATGTAATATCTATAAATTAATATCCAATAGATAATACTCACAATTGAAATTAAAATATGAACATAATATTTTTTGTCGAAAAGTGACAACCCTAAACTGGTTTGTGAGCAGTGATCGAACTGGAGTGACGGCGGATTGAGGGTTCTTTCAAAGAATGGATATAAATTATACCCCTTCCAATATTAATGGATCGGAAAGCGACTTACTGTTTTGACTTTATACTATATTTACTTATACGTGTACATATATGAAGTTTGAAGTTACACTACTCGTTCAAATAATTTATTTTTATTAATGAATGTTTGAACACACTGCGTGTAAAAATATTCATTAATAAAAACAAGTATAGGACCGGGTGTAGGACCGAGAGACCACATAGTAAGACAGAAGTATCCATTAAATACATTTAAAATTTTAATTATTATTCAACCCTATCATCATATTCAATGAAAAAGATTTCCTGAAATAACGTTCACAACGAATCTACGAACATTTTATTCGATTACTTTCAAAAAATAAATTCACAATACTAACATTATAAAGGGAAACGATTTATTTGTTTGTTTGTAATGGATAAACTAAAAAAAACTATTTATTTATTTATTTTATTTACACATACACTAAACAAACTTTTTACTTAAATAATATCATTAATTAGATACGATCTCTCTTGAAGAAAAATGATATAAATTATACATTTTACATATGACAAAACAACATAATAGTGAAGATTACACAATTATATAATAACATTACTATTTTACTTTGAAATTAGAATAAAAAGAAAAACATATAAAAAAATGAATGTAGCAGTGTTTATGCAAAGGACCTA